CCCCCCCCCCCCACAGCCCCGCCACTGCCACTGAAGGCCCATCAGAGGCCCATGAGGCCCAGCATCACAGGGCACCTGCCAGCAGTGTGTACCCTGGATCCAGTCACACCTGAATGCCACGTTAGGAATCAGAAGCGCCCAGGCCATGGCTGTGCCTGCACATTTGGGGCACCTGAGCCTGGGCTTGAGGGGACCAACCCGGGTGCTGCCCGGCCTTCCAGGCAAGCGTCACCATGGCTAGGAGGTGCTTCCTGAACTCTCATCAAGCACAGGCCCCTCCCGGTTCCCACCACACCGTACGGGCCCATTCCACTGCCCCACGCTTGCTTCCCATACATCAACGCCCTTTCTTAGCCGAAATGTATTTTAAAATGAGCATGTGTACCCTTTGCAAGAGGACGCCACACCTACTTCCCAACAACTGAGAGCAGCTCAGCAGCAGCCCTGAGACAAACGACAGCCCAGTGGTCATTAGCACGCGCTAGAGACGCTCAGGCAGCGCCCTCTCCCTGTCGTCTGGGGGCCCACAGACACGGAAACGCAACGCATATCTCACGCTTGGTTGCAGCTGCCCCCAAGTATACAGAAAACCACCTCGCTTACCAAGAGGGGTGGCCCCACCCGTGAAGCCAAGTGCCGGGGGGCAGCCCCTGCCTGCTTCCCCAGCCACAGGCCACAGGCCAGGTCCAGTCCCACCACTTGGTTCCTTATTGCTTCCTTCCCTTGAAAGCCCTTCTCTCTCTCTGCCTCGCCAACTTCTACTCATTCATTAAGTGCCTGCTGAGAGAACCCCTCCTCCCGGCATCCCTCCCTGTGTCACCCCGAGGTCCCATAGGCCCCGCATCACCTCCTCCCGGCATCCCTCCCTGTGCCACCCCGAGGTCCCATAGGCCCCGCATCACCTCCTCCAGGCAGCCCTCCCTGTCACCCCGAGGTCCCAGAGGTCCCGCATCACCTCCTCTGGGCAGCCCTCCCTGTGTTCCCAGGCAGTTAACTCCTCCCTGCTCCCAACACCTCATGGCTGCATCTCCTGACATGTTTCACATGGAGTGACAGTTGCTCCTGCACGGGAGTCTAGCCCGGGCCCGGCTCAGGGGGCTGAAGGGGCCTGTGCCCTGGGCCAGACACTGTCCTGGCCGCTGCGGCCAGGGTCAGGGCTCCTTACCGGTTCCGCCTGCCCGGGGGACGAGGTTCTGGTCTGGATGCTCCCGCGGAATGGGCCCCAGGACAGGCCCTCGGCGAGGCTGCACCGAGCCCGCACGCACCTCTGTCCGTCCTGCAGCAGCAGCTTCAGCTCGTCTGCGGGGAGAGATGTCAGAGGTGTGAGAAGGTCCAGTCCATCCTGCGGCACCCATCCCCCCCTGGAGCAGTTGGGGGGCTGAGGGCAGAAGCGGGAGGGTGGTACTGGCCCAGGTTACGGGGATGGTGGCTGGTGCCGGGTCCTGGGGGCCAGGCCAGCCCCTGCAGTGAGACCTGTTCTGGGGGACGGCAGGCTGCAGAGATAGGACAGCGGGGGCGCCTGCAGCTGCATCTGAGCAGGTGGGCGCACCGCTCGGCGGGACCTTGGCGGCTGCATTGGGACGTGTGTGCCTTGCACAGCCTAGGACGCACACATGAAGCCGGGTCACCCCTACTGCCTCACACGGGGGCAGGCACAGAGGGGAGGATGATGACGCCGATGAGACCGCCTCCCGTCCCCTCCACATGGTCCTCCCAGCCCCTTCCCATCAGCTTGAGCCCCAGAATCCGCAGAGCACGCCTGTGTGGGCAGCTGTGAAATGCTGCGCCTTGGCTCCCGTCTCTGAAACAGGGACCCCGCACCTCCCAATCCTCTTAGCATCTCAGCACAGGGCCCAGCAGGGGGAGCCAGGCCTGGGGCCAAGTGTTCCTCCCCTCCCCCACCCACTGCCAGCAGAGGCCCTCGGCACAGCCGGACTGCGCTCGGGTAGCGCCAGCATCACTCCCTGCAGGACTCCCGCCTGCTCTCTGGAAAGGTCTGGACCCAACTCCTGCTGAGGCCCTTGGTCGGCGGCTGCCTGTCCGAGCGGCCTGTCACCCGGCTGAGGGCCTAAGGCTCGCGGGCCGCGGCTACCTGTGCTGTGATCAGGGCCAAGCTCCCTGACTCTGCCAGCTTGCGTGGCCCGGGCTGTGCCTCCTGTGTCAGCTAGGGGAGTGGCATCTGTGCCCGGCCCCCGGCAGGATTCGGTTCCGTTGGCGTGGACAGACCGGCCTCTGCCAGGAGCCCCGCCACAGTCCTTCTCACGGGGAGGGAGCTTGGGGTCGCACAGGGTCTGCAGGTGGGCTCCCAGGTTCAGCCCGGCCTCAGCGCACGACCCACGTGACCTTGTGGGGTGGGCTGGACGGTGGCCCGCAACCTGGGAATGTTCCCTTGTTTGGACAAAGGGTCTCTGCAGGTGTGACTGAGATCGGATCTCAAGGTGAGACCGTCGGATTATCCGGTAGGCCCTACAGCCAATGACACATGTCCTCATAAGAGACACACAGGAAAAGGCACAGGAAAAGGTCCACTTGAAGACGGGGCGGGGACTGGTGGGATACAGCTGGGGGGACACTGCATCTGCAGCCTCTAAGGGGTGCGGCCCTGCCCACGCCTTGATTCAGGACTTCTGGCTCCAGAGCTGAGAGCAGACTTCTGATGTTTCAAGGCACCAAGGTGGTGTGAATTTGCACGGGCCGCCCTGGGAGACGCACACCTGGCACGTTACCTGCCGTCTTGAGCCTTAGTGTCCTCAAAGCCGAGGGGATGATGGTGGCCATGCCCTCCCAGGGCGGTCTCTCCGCAAGCCACGCGCCCTCTGCCCAGGAAGGCGGGGCCGCCTTGTGCCTCGGGTGCCACCTGGGCTGCCTGGGCCCACAGAGGCCTCACGTGGCCTGGCCTGGGCCCCGAGCAAGCACTGCTGCTTTGGCCCCGCTTCCTGGATCCCCGATCGGGCGGGCTGTGGCCTTAATGGGCCCGATTATCAGATAACTGCCGGCCTAATGGCACAGATAACGTGTAAATACACCAGGAGGCCCGGCTACAATGTTCTAACTGGGTTCTTGTCTTCCCCAGGGCAGATAAGATGGCAGGGGACCAGGACGTGGCCAGGAGGCGGCGCCCTTTATCGGCCCCCGCGGCGAGGGGGACAGAGGCCGGCCATGTCACTCTGCAGCCCGCCCACAAGGGGCCGTGTCCTCTATCTGTGCACCCAGGATGCCAGGGTCCCAGCCAGGACTCTGCCCATGGCGCCCCCCCTTCCCTGGGCCTGCAGGGTGCCAGCCGGCATGCGGTCACCCGTTCCTGCCCAAATGGCCCTATGATATCGGCCCTCTCCTGGTCCCACCCCCACCCCGCCCAATACAGATGAGGAAACTGAGGCCCCGAGAGGCCACATAGCTGGCAGTGGGATGCCAGGATCTGAGCCCGGGCCACTGCTGTCCTGGGTATATTTGGGTCTCTGGTACCCCGCCCAGCTGGCCCCAGGGCGTAGGCGTGTGGGGAGAGGCTGTCTAAAGGCAGGTTTGCTGGGCACTCACTTGTCCATCCAAATGGTCTGGCCAGCCATCCGACGGGTCCACGCTCTCCTTCTGAGGCTGGCTGGGGAGCCCACCGTGGGCTGAGCTGGGTACCACCTGCCCCCTCCCATCCGCCCCCTCAGGACGGTGGGGTCAAGGCGGAATCATCCCGCTTCCCAACACCATGGCCGGTGCCCATCCAGACAGCCAGACCTGCGCTAAGCCGCATGGGGTCGGCCCACACTTGGCCTTCCGGAGCGGGGAGGCCCACGCCCTTTCTGGACTTCAGTTCTGCTGCTGGGGCCACAGACGAGCCAGGGATATTGACCATGACTCCCTCTGTTGCCGTCACATATTTTCCTTTCAGTGTCCACGGCCTGTTCCTGGCTTGTCAGGCTTGGGTCCCCCAGTACGAGACAGTGCCGTCCATCTGAGGCCGGCGCCCACCTTCCTGGGGGGCAGAGGAGTGGGGAATTCAGTCCAGTCTTCCCCGGTGCGGGCCAGGTCCCACACAGACTCAGGGACACGGCGGGGCTGGAGGTGGCTGGCCCAGTTCACTCCGCGGGCGAGTGGGGGTGGGGTGCAGCCCCAAGTCCCCAGTCTACCCCTGGCTCCCTGCACCTGTGGGGTCCTGAGGCCCCTCTCTCAGAGCCCTGGCCCTAGCTCATCCCCAGTCCTGGTAGCCCCCCAGAGGAAGGGGCAGAGCCAGTGAGCCCCCACACCCGCCCACGCTGCACCACAGACAAACTGCCGTGGCCCCTAATCGCGCCCCAGGGCTGGCAGCCCCAGCTCCCAGATAACAGCGTGGCTGGTGCTTCCCGTGGCAGCCACTCCATCTCCTGGGTATCACGCACCACCAGAGGGAGGACGGCTCCTGATAAAGGCGGCCGTTCTGCACGACAGGGCAGAACCCACCACTCAGGGCTTGCTGGGGGATGGTCGAGGCCTGGGAAAGGCAGGGAGCCCAGGGATCTGAGCGATGTGGGCTGAGGATCGGGCAGTGGTCGCCATTGGAAGCCCCCTCCCTGGTCCGGGGGAGGCCGTCCCTGAGAGGCTGGACATTAGAAAGGGTATCCCATGTGGGTGGATGCAGGGCCATAGCAGATGCCTGGCTCCATGATGGGAACATGGCTGGATCTCAGCCCCGGCTCATTCAGTGCCTCGTGCAGTGCACAACCTGTGCAACTGTCTATGGTGGCCCTGGTGATGTTCAACATCCATCCACTCAGATAACCTATTTCCAGCTCCCAGTTCCTGCCCAACCCCTTGCACAGTCAAGCAGGTGTTAAAGCCCAGTTAGCACCTCTCAGAGACCCTCTCCCAATGAGAAATAAAACTCTATCCCAAAGAACGGGGGTCAGGAGAAGCAAGGCCACCTACCCCTCGCAGACTGGGTACCTGGTGGGGGCTCAGTTCAAGGTTGAGAATGAATGAAAGTATGAATGAGTGAGGAAGGGGCTGGGGGCAGGAGATGCTGAGCTGGGGATGGGAGCTGGCTGGGAGAGTGACAGACAGGAAGACACAGCTATTTTTAAACAGCCTCTGAAAGAGCTGGGGGACCTAGACAGTGGTGGCCATGGAAGTGGTCAGCTCCCAACCACACTGACAGGAAACTTGGGGCCCAGGGAGGCCCAGGAGTGCTCAAGCCACACTGCGAGCCCGGGCCGGAGGTGGGGCCAGAACCCAGTCTGTGGACTCACAAAACCCGACGTGGGTACCTGGGGCAGAGCTGAGGGAGGCATGGCCTCTGCCCTCAGGGCTCCCAGGAAACATGGGTGGCGGCAGCTCCAATGGTGGGCCAATCAGGGTGGACTTCCAGGTGGAGATGTCCTCTGCCCTGGCAGCCTCCTGGGACCCATGTCTCTGTTTCCTCCTCCCAGCTCCAGAGCAGGGCACAGAGAATTCCAGCTCCGGTGAGGTCGTGGCCGAGTCCTCCCTGACCTCTGTACCATGGCCTCCATCCCCACAGCTGGACAGCAGGGGTGATGCCATTTGCCCTGGGAACTCCCAGTCCTAACACAATTCCTGGCTTCTGTTTATCGAGCCTTAGTCAAGCGCTTGGCATAATTCACAGGGATTCCTCCCAGCCATGCCGCAGTTATTCCCCCCAGCGTACAGAGGGAGAGACTGAGGCTCAGAGAGGTTAAGCAACTGGCCCAGGGTACACAGCTGGCAGGTAGGATGTGAACCAGAGCCCCAGCATGCTCTTGGCCAGGGCCTTGACACCCTTTTCTGGGTCTTCCTAGTCATAGGCAGGAGACGACAGAGAAGAGGGTGGGCAGAGGCTGCTGCAGGGGAGGTGAGGGGTGGCAGGCGAGCCCCCGCTCTCCCGTTGCAGGGCTGACTCTCCCTGCTCTGCCCTCACGTTTCCCCATCCGCAGCCTGGTCTCCTCTGGAGGAGGGGGCAAGCCCTGCGCTGCCTGGGTGGACCTCCCCACGGGGGTCGGGTCATCACTACCGGCACGGCGTCGGGACAAAGCCTAATTTATTCTGTCATACAACCCCACACACGTCGTTTCCAGAGCAAATACGCCGCGCTGGGATTCAATTTCACCCCCAAGCATCTGTGAGGATCCAGATGAGAAAATTCAGCCTTTGCATATTTCTGCGATTTAAACACCTGTTTAGGTCTTAAAACCCTTCGATGGCGTCCCGAGGGGCCAGGGGAAGGAGGCAGGACTGGGCATCGCCGCCCCAGGCCAGGCTCAGGACCCCATCCTGGGAGCCCAGCAGATGGGGTGGCGGCTGGGAGAAATGGGGTCTGCAGTCAACAAGCGGGCTGA